TTGCTTGTTTTTTTTTTTTTGACTAGACCTCCTCCCCACCATTGTACCCCTTCTCCCTCTCCCGCTGTCTTCTGATTTAAATAATCCAGGAGAATGGTGTTTTGTGCTTTTTTACGTGTTCGGGGGGAGGGGGGGGGGGGGGGGGCGGCTATGGGCCTGACTGCTGTATAAATTACCTTTAAAATTGGTCAAATAACTACAGAGTGTTCGCAGTTAAATTGTTTATTAAAACAAGAAAATTATATAGCCAGTACAGTGTGACCGTATGTTTAGGCGAGCGATCGCCCAGTTTCATGCAGTCAGTTCGATTGGGTGGAGTGGTAAAGAAAAGAGAAGGCACAAGGCTGAAAAAACAGCCGGGGGGAGGAGTTGCTCTTTCTCCGTCTTGATTCCCTGCCTCCTGTGACTGGTGTATTACTACAGGATAAAACAGTTTATTTGTATTACTGGGTTGATTGATCTATTTTATAAAATAACTAAGACAGTTATGCAAACCCCCGACTTCGTCTCGGGTTTGCATAACTGTCTCGAATTCTCCCAACCCCTCTCGTGTTTATATCAGGCTAAGCAAACACGGAAAACGTTTTCTATTGCTTAAATGTTATCAGTCCAAGGAGCTGCCTACATGGCCTAAAGTTAGTACTTTTATAGTCTTTTAAGGAGCTGCTAGATTAAAGGACGGAGCCAACTATAGGCCAAATGCAAAAATGACTGCAAGATTGTTTAGATTAAAATTAGCCTGACTAGCCTCGTTTTTCATACAAAATTCAAAAGAACACATTGTCTCAAGCGAGGCTAGTCAAGCTAATTTTAATTTAAAAAACAAAGGAATATTAATCCGGCAGCCATGTTTGCATTGGGTCCATAAGGTGTACATGATTGTAAGCTGGTCACGTACAGAAAGCCGTCCTTAAAGTTTAGTTGAAGTCTGGCACCACCACGTACTCATTCTGCACGTCATATCTTGGTCGAAGAGACCCGATGTCATGGCGTGAACCCCTCGCATTGGCTCTAGATCTATTTTTCAGCTTCCTCATTTTCATGCATAACCAAGCAGATGCTGTTACCATAGCAATAAACACGGTTATTGAAACGCCGAGCAAGATCCAGGAGACCTGGCCCATAATCACGGGATCGTCTGATTCACTACCAGTGCCTTTTGGCTCAAGAGGGTTTTCTAATGGATAAAACAAACACAGCAGAAAGCAGGTTTAAAACAAACTAACTTTCTCCAATTCATATGAAAACTTATAAATTCTTTTCTTCTGTCTCTGGATGAAATTCAGTGACAACATTTGATTATGTAGTTATTCTGCACACACACACGCACACAAACATACAAACATTTCTTACTAACCGCCCAAGTTCCAGGAGGTGTTTGTGTTGTTCTTTGAGATATTTCCTTGCCCAACGACTGTTTTAAAATAAAATAAAACCGATTTATATAAAAATTAAGTAACGTAATATATACTCGGTGGATAAAGCTTTAAGCAACCCACCATAGGTTGCTCCTAATTCTAATGCCGTGGGACTACAAGTTTAATTTTTTCCAGATTTATAGTTGGGGCTCAACTGAAAAACATCAACGTCATTTCAAGTTGTAAGCGCTTTTAAACGGCACATCCAGTGCAGATTCTACTCAAAGCCATAGCAGATGTTTCCCTGGTGAGGTGAGGTATTCATGATAACAAAGCAGCGCCCAAGGAGGGGTGTTACGCCGCAAAATGTAACAATTGACGCAAAATGTAACATTAACGCGAAATGTAACAACTTTTGACGCGAAATGTAACATTAACCCGAAATGTAACAACTTTTGACGCAAAATGTAACAACGTTTTAACGCAAAATGTAACAACTTTTTGACGCAAAATGAAACAATATTTTTAACGCGAAATGTAACAAGCAAAATGTTACAGCCTTGAAATAACTGAGAGACTTGGACATGAGCCTTGTAGATAAAATGTAAATTGTCCCGTGGTTACAAAAACAGTTTATTTATAAAGTTTTCTTACAATGTCAAATAAACTTACGAAAGGTCGTAAAACAGGTGATAAAGTTACAAGTCATGTATAACCTTGGAAAAGCAGTATGGACAATAACAACAACGCTAACTTATTAAACATAACGTATGGAAAATGATCCCAAGCTATGCGAAAAGAATATGACTAGAAATGTGAACAATAACACCGTAGGAAACACGCAGCAATCAGCAATTGAAATGCAAGTTAAAAGTAAAAGTTAAGAAAGGTAACCTTTCAAAAGAAAATTTTGAACGTAGTCAATAAGATAGATATGAAATTTCTCATTTCTTACTGGACTTCCAGTAAATGTGAGAAATTTCATACCAACCCAGTCCTGCTGCCTTAAAACTTAAACATGCCGACGCCCATTTAACACCGTTGATTATCTCACGCAGTCGGATGACTGCTCCGCTACACTGTCCTTTTAGGGAAAAGGGGAGGAGGTGGGCAAAAACAGACAGCTTCGGATAAAAACAGAA